TTTTTCGAAATGTCCCCCTGATCCATTCTGAAACATATTCCTATTTCAGCCGCTTCACTGAGTGGACCGGAATCGCGTGAATGCGCCATGATGCTTCTGAAGTCCGGTGGACAGCCTGACGTCGCTCAGGAAGACGGCGAAACCTGCTTGCACCTGGCAGCTCGCAATGGCAATAAGGAGATAATGAGGTGAACGGTGAACTTCGCTATCGCTGAAATAGCCTTATCGATGCATCAACAGTCCCTCATTCTTCTTCGTGAATCCCCTTCACTGAACTCGGTCCTTTCTAAATGACTGGAAAGCGCTTCATCGGACAAAGATTCTGAGCTTAAGTCGATGCTCCATGAGCTCAGATTCATCTTCGTACAGGTTGTTGCTCAACGAGAATGCGAATCTACAATTGATGTCGAATAGTGGTGAAACACCTCTGCACGTGGCCGCCAAGTGCTGTAACTACGAAGCCGCCCAGATGATCGTCACCCACATGGCACAAACTCTTAGTCCTGAAGAAATTCGCAAGTATGTCAACAAGCGGACCAATGTAGGTTGTAAATTATACTTCTTCACTTCTATATCTATTTGCTGGTGCTCATTTTGTTGGTGTTATAAACAGAAATAAAGCTCATGAAAAGGTCTTCCTCGAAGAAGTTAGTTCCGTTGCTGAATCCCACCTATGTACGTGACCGGGAACACTTTTAACTATATAACCGAATGGAAGACCATCCAGGACAAATGGAAACTTTAATTGAAGCCACTTTTCCTGGTATTGCGCACTTCTATGCCACAAGCAGAAAACTACGGAAAGTATTCCCTGGAAACGGTATGGGTAAGGAGGTGCCATCTCGGACCCTCCGTTGGAACTAGAACACCCACATTTTCGCCTAGCGTTCCTACTCTCTTCACCGCTACCTCAGGTGTCCTGAGGTATGGGCGTTATAATATGAAATAGGCGACTGCAATGACGCATCCCGACTCAACTCCTTACGTAAAGATGGAAAAGGACGTATAGAATGCAAAAAAAATCTGTAAGGAAATCATATAGAGGTCGATCTTAATTCAAAGCTTCCATAGAAATCCTCATTTTGTAGTTCGCACGAGAACATTTTCAGATTCTCTGTCTTCTCAGATTTGCTAAAGGATTTGTTAGCGCCAGTATTTGATGAATTCCTTCTTCAGGACGGGTTTACAGCGGTTCACTACGCGGCTGAGATCACTTCTGAACAACTACATTTCCCCGGGGAGGATGCCAAACTGATGAACTTGCTAATTGACTACGGTGGTCAGGTAAGACACTGTAGATAGACTGGGCGAAGCTTCCACTCAATCTAGCGTCAGTACAGGTCGATCTACAATCGTTGAGCAGTAACGAGACGGCAATGCACATGGCCGCGCGATCTGGAAACCAAGCAGTTCTCTTGGCCATGGTGAACAAAATCGGTGCGGGAACGGTGCAAATTGTGCAGAACAAGCAGAGCAAGGTGGACTCTTCGAGGCTCACTTATCTTCTTCTATCTTATTCTAGTGCCATCAATTACGATCCTTTACAGAACGGCTGGTCACCACTTTTGGAGGCGTGCTCCAGAGGCCATACCGGTGTGGCGCAGATTCTTCTACAACATCACGCTCGAATTGATGTATTCGACGACAATGGACGGACTGCTCTACATCTTGCCGCCCTCAATGGTCATCTGCAGCTTGTTCATCTACTGCTTCAACATAAAGCCTTCGTTAACAGGTTTGCCACCCAATACCTTCAAGAACAAGCAAATTCGAGATTCCTCGCAGCGGGTACTGAACCTTCCTTTTGCACCATCAGACCACGGTGATCCCTCAGGCTGGGCCTGCTCATTCCCTGAAACAACGGCTGAATTCTAGCGGTTTTAGAATGTTGGGGAAGGGCTGGTGCTTCGTATTTGATAAAAAAATTTGAGGTAGTGTTTGTACTGTGCTCTTTAGCAAATCCAAGACGGGAGAAGCTCCACTACATCTAGCAGCCCAGAACGGCCATGTTAGAGTCGTGAACGTATTGGTACAGGACCATGGGGCCAGTCTTGAAGCAATCACTCTTGACAACCAGGTACTACTCTTCCTCTTGAATGAATAGATCACTTTCGTTTAAATAATTCCTCGATTATTTAAGACAGCATTGCATTTTTCCGCCAAATACGGTCAGCTCGTTGTCAGCCAGACGCTGCTCGCCCTTGGGGCAAATCCTAATGCCCGCGACGACAAAGGACAAACACCTCTGCATTTGGCCGCCGAGGTGAGTCCCCATTTTGTGTGCAGTGCCCAGATGGGAATACTGAAGGGAAGGGGAGGGCTGCCTTCATAGTCCGCCGGCTGGCGGACTACTCATCCTGCGGTATCGGTCAAGATACTGTTGTAAACAAGGGGCAAGGGTCACGCCCGGCCGGCGGGCTATGAAAGCAGTCGAAGGATTAGGAATCGACTGGAATCATCTGAAACGTTACCATTAAGAATGATTATCCGGATGTGGTCAAACTTTTCCTGAAGATGAAGCAGAACAATCGCGGAGTACTTACTGCGATAGATCACAATGGATTCACATGTGCACATATCGCTGCTATGAAGGTGACCACTTGACGAGAATTAGCCGTCAATATAGAGGAACATTCAACTATTTTCAGGGCTCACTCGCTGTGGTGAAGGAGTTGATGATGATTGACAAGGCCATGGTGATTCAGGCAAAAACGAAAACGCTTGAGGTAGGCCTATTCCACCAATTATGACTGGGGGTTGAT